CAATGCAACTTCGGAGTTTAAGAAACCGAATGCAATGCGAGATCCCCCAGAATGCTTAAAGCTCAGGTTGTGATTAGCGCGCGAAAAGGAAATCGGTGTCAGTTGCTTCTTTCTCTCAAGTGTAGCATATAGATATATATCACGTCGATTGTAGCTGTTTTTTTTACTCTGATTTATGTTCTGTCATACGACCAAGTAATCTTGGCAGATGTAGCTACTCAATGGACCGGGGGTATTCGAGCAGTTTAAATATCTGAAGAAAAAAAAAATGATGGGTTGGGCTGTCTGCTTAGTGCCTGCCTGTACGTGGCACCGGGTCGTGCCGTTCACGGGTTAGCATGGCATGGTTAGAGCACGATACGAGCACGGGCACGAAATAACTGGGCCAGCCCGGTACGAGCACGAATAATTTATGGACCGTGCCGGTCCTAAACTTCATGGGCACGGGCAGGAGCACGAGCTGTTAGAAACCTATTTCTAGGGTTCTAACGGTCGAATTGATGAGATTGGGAATTGATAGATATTTAGGGATTGAGATAGAATTGGGGAAGAACAGAATTGGGAATTAGGGATTTAGAAGAGGAAATTGGGGATCGAGGAGAAGAATGGCCGACGGCCTAGGGATAGGTAACGAATTTGAGAGAGATTAGGGTTTGAGATACTTTTCTGAATAATTGTTCTTGCTTCTTTATGAATGAATGACAAAGTACATATTTATAGGGAGTACAAGGAAACCCTAAGAATAATCCTAACTTGACCAAAATACTACTAACCATATTTAATAAAACCTAGGTGGCTACTTCGGTGCACTCACTTTTTTGGGTGCATTCAGTGCACCCACCTCTAAAAGTGGTCATAATACATCAAATTTTGAAATTTAATGGGTAGCATTAGTCTCATATGATGATATAACACAGAATCACAACTAATCAACCCATTACCCTAACCTATTAACATTCAATTTTGAATATAAACCCAAAATCCCAAATTGTAAACCCTGATCCAAACCCAAAATTCCTAAACCCTAAATCATTCAAATTAAAGTGAATCTTGAATGATTTTTGTACAAATTCATGTGGTTCTTGTTCATCATACTACAAGGGATGATTGACATCGTTTTCACATGAATCGTCTGCTCAGAATGACGATTATGAGGCGGGTGCATTGAATGCACCCAAAAAAGTGAGTGCACCGAAGACATAACCATAAAACCTAATAATAATGATAATGATAATGATGATATGGAAACTCGTTTCCGTTAGAAAAACGTGTTTCTAACATCCTCTCCCTCTTGAGACCAACCTTGCCCTCAAGGTTGATCAACTCAACCCATTTCTTCATGTCTACCGTGCAATCCACGTCTTGCCTCCATTTCTTGCGCTTTCTTTTCTTCCAATTATGTTCTACTACTCGAACGTATCTCACGCCAACAACTCCAAATCCAATGACTTCTTCCTCATCCATGTGGTTCGCGTTGTAAGCATGGCCTATTGACTGTCCACCCCCCTTTTCAAAATCCACCAAGTAAGAATTGGGGTGCTCACCTAAGCCCACCAATTCTTCTTTCTTCATATTCAAGCCTACACTTTGTAAAAGAGATTCCATAGGGCTTATATGAGGCCAATCTTCATTATGGAGTCTCTCTGCTTGTCTGTGTTTACGCAGCCCAGGGCCGGTTCGTGCTAGCCCGCCCGTCGCTCCGCTCGGCCCAATGATGTGGCATGCTGCTGCTGTTGTTTTCGCACCAAGGAGAGCCCAACACCTCTCTTCATGCGGCCCAACCTATGACCCAGGATGATGGGTCTCATCTCCTCGCCTAGGCCCACTCCCTTTTGCCTCTTCAGACCTGTGGCCCGGAGGTTTCGGCCCAACAAACATAGTTGCTGCTGTGGTGTTACGTGGTTGGAGGCCACCCTAGAGTTTGAGCGTAAGGAAGCAATGTCGCCGCCTGCTCTCGCCGTCTCTGCCTTCCGCGCCGCCGTGCGTAGCGTGGCCTCCTCCCCGCCTCGGCCAGCCCCGTCGAGCGAGCCGTTCCCCGCGCCGCCGTCTGCTGCTTTGGACGCCGCAGCGCACCGCTCGGCCTCCGCCCCGCCTCGGCCACCCTCTCGAGCGGTGCCAGCTCCGCCCCTGTTGCGCCCTCGTCTTCCTTCCTCGCCGCGGCGCCGCGCGCCGCTCTCTCCTTCCAATAGCCCACAATATGCCACATCTTTTCTTGCTTCTAAGCCCACGTCAGCTCCGATATATCGGTTGAACTTATCAGTTTCGATATGGTAGGAAGCTGTCCCTAAGAGAGTTGTGATGAACTCAGGTCTTCGACCATGGCTCTGATACCAGATGTTAGAAACCTATTTCTAGGGTTCTAACGGTCGAATTGATGAGATTGGGAATTGATAGATATTTAGGGATTGAGATAGAATTGGGGAAGAATAGAATTGGGGATTAGGGATTTAGAAGAGGAAATTTGGGATCGAGGAGAAGAATGGCCGACGGCCTAGGGATAGGTGATGAATTTGAGAGAAATTAGGGTTTGAGATACTTTTCTGAATAATTGTTCTTGCTTCTTTATGAATGAATGACAAAGTACATATTTATAGGGAGTACAAGGAAACCCTAAGAATAATCCTAACTTGACCAAAATACTACTAACCATATTTAATAAAACCTAATAATAATGATAATGATAATGATGATATGGAAACCCGTTTTCGTTAGAAAACGTGTTTCTAACACGAGCACGGGCACGACACAGTATATAAGGGGTTGTGTCGGGCCTAATATTTTCGAGACTTTATTGAGTATAAGAACGGACATGGCACGGAAATAATATTTATTTGATAGAAAATAAGTATAAAAAGAATTATAGGTTCAAATATTACAAAACACAAGTAGAAAAATAATTATTTGTTGTTGTTAGAAGTGTCATAAAGATATATACGTAATTGCTAGTGGCCGGTCTAGATGCGGAGGCGAGAGTCGCGGATGCAGTGGTTCTAGGGCGAGATACAAATAATTAATTAGTGTAGGGCCCAGTCGAGAACTTCATGCCTCCCCCTATCGGTTGGTTGAGCTTGAGAATGGAAGGGACTTCTAGTTCGGACTTCGGACTTAGAGCGAGTGATGGATGTGACCCGTGGGAAAGAAGCTACGAAGAAGAAGGTATACTGAGGACTTGTTTAGGAGGTGAGCTTGGGTTGCTGATAGTGAGGAATCCATAATCTATCGAATATCGGATTTCCTATTTTCAGTGTCTAGTGAAGAGAGAAACTCATATAATAGAAAGAAAAGAAATCTTTGAAGAAGGGAAGTTCCGTAAGAAATAATGTTGCTCCGTGGACCGCTACTGCTCGCTTGTCGGGACTGATAGGAAAGTTAAGTTCTTTTTTGATGAGGCACCGGGTTCTTTATACCGAGGCTACGGGTTAGGATCTCTACCCCTTCCGCAGTCAGTCAGAAATAAAGCCATCATCATACCTATAGCTACACCCGTAAGTGCAGTGCGACAAGTCAAAGGGATTTTTAGATCAGATAAGGGTGGTGTATCATTATAGGCCTGTAAAACTAATATTTCGAGATCTTTTGATTCTGCATAATGGAGCTTTTTATAGTCTGGAGGACAATAGGATGCATTGAAAAAAGGCTCATAGGTATCTATAGAACCGAATAAGCATTCGCTTATGTTCGAAACTAAGTTAGAGTCGTGCGCATAAGTGTACCAGATTGTACAACCTAAGCCTAATTGCACCAGAACCAAGATATGTAAATATTTATTATTTACAAAGGTAAAAGCCTCAAATAAAAGCTTTATAGTAAAAATGGACAAAGAATTAAATAAAGTCAAATCACACTCGCTATATTTCCAATTTTCTTTTCCCCCATATTTGTTACTTTTCTCAAACATTATCGGTTAATACTATCTTCCCCGTCCAATTTTCACCTTCTTTTTCATTCTCTCTTTTGTTTTCGTCCTTTTCATTAAACACGAATACGAGCATAGCACAAGCATGAATAGGCACGACACGATTCAAACCGTGTCCGGGCCTAGATCGGGTCTAGCAAAGTTGACAAATGGGTTTGCATAGCACGACACGAAAACTGATGGGCCGTGCTTGCGAACCGTGCCAAACATGACACGAAATAAATGGGCGCGAAGCGTGCCCGTGCCGTGCCGGCCCAAACACGGCCGAGCGCCCCTGTACATGCCTGCCTGGGATTTCCTTTCGACTTTGATTGATCCCTTTCCCTTGGATGTAGACAAGTAGTATAGTGCGCCACCACACAAAAGTATATTTTAATATTGATTCTAGTTGTAAGAGTATGCAAAATATGAATGTATGGTTCTATTGTATAGTCAGTGATATATAGATCTTGAATTAATCAGTATTAAATTGGTAAAATATCGTTAATGAACTAGTGCCTTATAAACAAGAGTATATATATATATATATATATATATATATGGACGGTTTTATTGTACCTTTATTAATATATAGATCTTGAATTGACCAAAATTTGGGACATGTTATAATACTCTAATCCTGAAAAATTAAAATATGAGCCTTAATTCTATAAATCCCATACATTAAGATCAATTTGATAAGAAACAACAATCGATGGTCATGATTTGTTAAACTATATGCAACAAATAACATGCAACATTTTGAGGCTTAAGGTCTATGGTTTAGATAACTAAGATCTAGGATTCACTCATCAAGGATTATGGTATAATATCAATGCCCAAAATCCGGTCAATTCAATGTCTACATATAATTTTATTACTCAAGATATACTATACCTTTGGTTTTACTCAAAGTAAAGTAGAAGCCACCACATATATATATGATTGTTACTAAAAATGCTAAGCAAGCGAATATTACTACTAATTATTTTATTTTCTTACCAATAGAGCACTTGTATTACCAGGACAAAAAGCTAACAAAGTTTACAACCCTAGTAAAAACCAACGCTCAAAATCAAAACTATCTACAATCTTCACTCTCCACTCGATAATATCAACTTCATTCTACACAATTACAAAGAAATAATTAGACATGTCTCCACAAACATAAAGAAGATTAGTTGCTTAGAATATTAAATATACCAGAAAATTAATTATATGAGTGTGGATGGGTATCCATGGGGCAGATATCCCTAAACCCAAACCCAATCTAACCCGATGAATAGTGAACGGATTTAAATCCAAACCCGACCCAAAATCCATCAACACGAGTTTTACCCGCGTTGACCAGGTTGAGTCGAATAGGTTATCTATGGATTCGGGTTTTGTTGCCATCACTTTTACGCAACTCTTTCTTTCCATCTTACAAAATAGTTTTGAAATTCAATTTAAGAAAGAAAATGCATTGAGCATCGATGAAGCACATGGAAATTTCCATTTTCCAGAATTTTTATGTTCAGACGACTTTGTAATTTTTTTTTTTACTGGAACGACTTCATATTCTTCCTGGGCACTCCAAAAGACTCTTGAATCAATATGTGATTGAGTTCTGCGGTTCATATGGGATGATGGTTTTGAGCGCCTCAGACACAAAATAGCAATGTTGTTAGAACCGAATCGGAGCATGACCCAGTAATGCGAACGGCTCGCACTTTAGTGGTCCAATCGATATTAGACCTTTTAAAAACCGTTAGAGAACCGATAACCTAATAAACGTTATCAGTACAAATAGGGGACATTTCTTAATCATAGCTCGTCTCTTTCCTTCGAAATTGTGAAATGGAAATAAGGATTCAATTTGAGAGCCGGACGTTTTTGGTTTATTTCAATTTTTAAATTTCTGCAATTTTTTAACTAAATTTAACGGATGAATGGCAAAAATCGGATGAGCGGCTCGATCGGCTCCAGCGGTTAACCGCCTCGGCCGCTCGTCAACCACTACATAAAACTAGAGCAGCTTTTAGACTTTTCCGAGTCAATTTTTTGACCGGGTGGAAGTTTTACTGGTCGGGCCGAGCGGCTCGGCTCGACTTTAATAACACTGCAAAATAGTGAGTTTTATTTTATCATTGGCCACCAAACTCTTCGCAGGTGAGATTCTTCATTTTTGGCCTCCTGATTCTGGTTCTTAACCAATGTTTGGCCATTCTCGAGCAAAATTTCGTCATAAAATGATTCGGGACGACTACAATTGATAGTTTGACGTGGTGTGAGGTTGTAAGTGCTAAGAACATTTATCTCTTTCAACTTTATATTGTTTTTTTTATTGTTTGAAAGAGTCCTTGGTGTCAGGCCTTGACCGCGGAGACCGAGGAGGCTATTTGATGCTCCATCATCTGTTCCAGAATTGCTTGTTGACCATGGAATTAGGTTTCCATCTTGTTAGCAATAGGGATATATATAGCTTGGGGGAGAGCACAACTCAGTCCCGATTCCTTGTACAGAGTCTTCGGACCAAATCCTGATGGTGTTTGATTTGGCTTCTTCATCCACTCGGAATTGTGTGAAGGCTTTTCGTCCTAATACATATCATGGAAATATGGAGCATTGGTGGACGTCATCTTTGGATAGTCAGTAGGTTTCTGGCCTCCAGGAAGTGGCCATGGTCCACCTAGTAATTGAGACCAACTTTTATAATGGTTGCTAAGTTGATTATTAGAGGTATTGTAAGCAATACAATAGTTGTTTTGTTAGTTTTCTTTGTAGCCATATTGATTGTAGTCACATTTTGAGGATATATTCGTCCAACATAGTAAACATCAGCGTTCTAACTGTCACCTCTGCTTGCAAATTTCATCCCACATGTTCTTCTTTGCCAGATCACTCACATACAAAAATCAATGTTGTTGGTGGTTTTTCTTCATTCTGCTTCACGGGGTATATGTGAAAATTCCTCCATTTGTAATAGCATAAAGATGAAGGGATCATTTGATGCTTGAAATGCTTTGAAAGTCATAGGAGCAATCCTTCTAGATCGGTTTTTCAGATTTTGCATTCATGGATGCAAAGTCTTCTAGAGCTTTCTCTGCAGCTAATCTAATAATGTTGCCTTCTGAAAAACTAATTCGCTAGAAAAATAGTGTTTATGTTGAGTCCTTTACCGAAGAAATCAATGAGTTGTTCTTGCCCAAATCCATGGTGAGAAAATGCTCCGAGAAGCTCTTGGAATCGTTGTCAAGATTCATAAAGGCTCTCAAAATTGTGATGCAAGAAACATGAAATCTGATCCTTTAAGTCATCAGTTGTTCATGGAGGGAAGACTTCTTGGATGAATGCTTGTGTCGAACTATCCCATGTACAAAATGTGCCAGAGGGTTTAAAGATTTCGCCATTCATTTGCTTTTCCCCGAAGGATAAAGGAAAGAGATTTATTGCATCTAGTTCAACACCTTAGTGTTCCACAAAGTCACAACTGATCATCAATAGTAGTACATGAAGTAACACGAGAGTGATACTAGAAACCACCACAAATGACACTCAAACACAATAAGTTTATGATAGTGAAAACTCCTTATCAAACTTATAAAACCTAATGCAATTATGATTAGTCAACGGGTAGCCCCAGTTATACGAACACTCTGATTAAGTCACACAAATAAGAAGTCGGGCAAACTAGGTCCTCACTGAGATTAAGAACATATGAAATGAATCACAAAACACTTGACCAGTGGGGTCAGGATCATAGTTTATGTAAAATATGTGCATATCAAATCTCTCAATCCTATAATCTCTCTGGCATGAAACTAGCCCCTAAACACTTTGTAATACGACTTAAACTCCATGAATGGGTCACCACTAACTTGTACGGGGTACATTTTTGAAAGGGCTTTTAAGTTTTAACTTGGATAGGGTCTAAGACAAGGGAACACGGTCTTTATGGTGGTGAAAAAATTGACTACTCTACTTAAGGTTTCACATATTCCAAACCAAAGCCATATACAACACAATTTTCTCTACCTTTTATATTTTGTACATTTTGAGCACAAGAATACTGGAGGAAACTTTCTAATAGTAGGAGCAACTTAGCCATTGGACTAATCACATGGATACTTAAAAAAGGGTTCAAACAAATGTAGGCTTGAAATAACAGGGATTGGCTTTAAACAAGGTGGTATTAACAAAGAACATGTTAAGGTTCAGTGGGGGTTCATTAAGGGATATTATATTATATGAGTAATCAATATGGTTGTGGGATAAACCGACACCTCCATCTTCCTAATTAGTGGTCTCACGATTCAGCCTCATGCAAAGGTTAAGCTAAGTCATCATGTAAAAAGAAACTATCGCACATGAAAGAACGAACATACACAAATTTCACATGGATACCTAGATGCTCAAACTCTCATGGCGATTTCTTACTCTCGTTTGCCTAAACAATCGAGGATGGTGATTGACCAAACAAATTTTCGTGCAGTTTTGCGATCAAATGGAGAGTGACACTAAACACAATCTTACTGCAGTTCTCAACCACCATCATAACTTGTTATCGATCTCAATCATACTACTCATGCATTGACATCAATGAGCTACATAATTCAAAACACACGTTCAAAAGTTCACACTATGATAATGCAAAAGAAGTTAAATGTGTTTGGGGCCCTCAAATTTACAAATTTGGGCAACAAACTAGGATCCAAGCATTCATAATATCAATCCAATCATTCATCACATGAGTTCACAATTCAAAACCCACATTTAAGCATGACATTGTCCCCAATGGAGGGAAGATAAGGAGAAGGTGGAACAAAATTATTGGATCCATGATAAATGTTGGAAGAACTTAAAGATGGACTAGTTTATGAGAAGTGTGCAAAAAGAGTCAAAATAGAGGATCACGACCATTGTGCAAGTTCACGGCTGACGCATGATGTTCATGACCACGATCTTTGATCGCTTGAGCAGCGATCTTTGAGAGGCTACAGACAAAGAACACAGAAAAATATTACCTAGTGGTCCTTCACAACGATTACCACGAAAAAATATTACGACGGTGAATTCTCGTTCGCGAAAGTGAAGTCTGGCCCGTGATATCACCACCTGAGTAGTCAAACACGTCATTGTTTTGATTTCATGACCTTAAAAATAAGATCGTAGCGATATCTCGTTATTTAGCCACGAACTTCTCCATGTAGATGATCCTCTATAAATAGAGGGATGCTTTCCTCCTTTGAACAAACATTGGATTTTGCTAAACCCTAGAGGGAGTTAGAGAGAAATAGATTTGTTGTGGAGGAAGAGGAGAAGAAGAAGATAAGGTGGAGTTTGAAGAAGAATTTCTCTACACAAGAAAGAGGATTCTTTCATGTTTTCTTCCTTTGCATTGATTTCCATTTGCCCGCTGATGACACTCTATTTTAGTGTTTATCCATCTCATTCTTGACACATGTTCTCCTTCTATGAATGCATCTTTAGTGGTTTTAACTATTTTTCAAATGGAATTCATAACTATTTCGATAATGAGCTTATGATAGACCTGAGTGTGTTTTTGTGCTGTTTGATGCATTTATGGTGTTGTTTTGTGCTTTTCAAGATAATAAACCACTCAAGAGTCAAGACTAATATGGCCCCCCAAGGTACCCAGTGGATCAGAAAGAGGACAAGAATACAATCTTATGAGCTCAAACAGATATGGTTGTTCACATCGAATGCTCACGTTATGGCCAAAATAAGCAGATTTGATAGTGCAACATGCCCGATTTTGACCAAGACCTATGAGAGATTTTCCTACTAGTCGATGCTCTACAAATTGGATGAGGAATTACTTGGCCAAAAAGCAACCTAACCCAAGTGGAAGATCAGCCGCGACCCACCATCGCTCGTGCCCTAGCTTCTAGAAGCACTTTGCCCACCTGTTGAAAGAAACTGAGTTCAAGTCGTAAATAAAGGATAGATATGGAACACGATCAAACATATTCCAACTTGTGTGAACGGTCAATTGGTATATGATACCAATCAAACAATCACCAATTCGTGAATAATACCAATCGCTATTTGGTAGAAGCTCGCCACAACTAGACGCTTCTCTAGTTGATAAGAGACACTCAAACCTCCTGAATCCTCAAAGGAGAATTTAAGAAAACATTCAGAAGAACACGAGTAAACACTCTATTATTGATAACTTGAATATTGGGTACCAAATACGTAGTGCTAAATTTCTTGTCGATTCTCCATGCAGGCTCCCTCTTCAGAAATTGCATCACCAATCACCAAATCAATATGAGCATACTCGGGAACTATTGGTAAATGCTCCATAATTTCCAAGCATTCATCTCTCCTTTGAATTCTGGTTCCTCATTGAATTGATCAACTTCTTGCGCACTCAAATATTCAACATCAACAATAATATCTTATTTCACCTCGTTTGCCTCTTCTACTTCAAGTTCTGGTTCTTCTTGAGATGAAATCAAAGCTCGTGAATCCTCTTCACAAGTGACTATAGTAAGTCCATCAACAAGAACCTCTTTTTCAACTTCATCTTCTACTTGAACTTCCTCACCATGGATTGAGTTTAAAGAAACATCACTTTTGTCAACATCAACAGATCTTGCACTGGCAGCCTCTTGCTCTTTCTCCTTTTGTGATTCTAGACAGTTGATCGACAATTTCTCTTGAACCCAACAATGAGTATAGAATATTTTACCTTGTTCTAGCTCTTCCGTCATCACTTGATAAGATCTCCTCCTTGCCACTAATTTTGAATCAGAGATCTTCAAAATTGCTTCTGAGTTTGAACTAGGAATCTTCAAATTGCCGCTGAGTTTCAACCGGGCTCTTGATACCACTTGATGTGATCCAAATTCGAAGAGAACCCTCGAAGTTAGATGATATGACCAAAGTACACAGCTTCAATGATCTTTTTATGATTTTCTTGATTTCTTCTTCTTCAACTCGAAACAAAGGATAGATATGGAATACGATCAAACAGATTCTAACTCGTGTGAAGGGTCAATTTGTATATGAAACCAATCAAACAATCACCAACTCATGAATAAGACCAATCTCTATTTGGTAGAAGCTCGCCCCAACTAGACGCGTTCTCTAGTTGATAAGAGACACTCAAACCTACCGAATCCTCAAAATAGAATTTAGTAAACGTTCACAGAAGAATACGAGCAAACACTCTATTATTGATAACTTCAATATTGGGTACCAAATTAGTAGCTTACACCCTCTATTTATAAAAGTTACAAAAATATAAATCTAACTTTTTAGGAATAGGAAAACAAATTCTAAACTAACTAGTAGGGCTGGCTATTTGGTCCCAGACTGTTTGGTTTTACCCGAAACCAGACCGTATAACCCGGATCGGGACCGGACTGGGACCGGATAGCAAACAATGCAATCTCATATTCGAGCTTAGATTTGAGGTAAAAAACCGGATAAAGACCAGATAAGAGACCCCCAACACCTAAAATCAAGATAAATTTGGGACCGGACCGGGTCAAGACCGGACTGTATCCAATCCAATCTTTGGTCCTTATACTCCCAAAAAGACCGGATTAAGACCGGATCAATTTGGTCCAATTTAACCGGAACGAACCGTATAGCCACCCCTACTAACTAGGAAACATAATAATTATCGAACACATAAATAAACTAGTTAAACAAATTCCAAATAGTATTGCTGCTGCCAGCTTTCCGTCTCCACGGCGGAATTGAAATTTCGTTCCATTGTTGCGTCATTTCTCCTTTCCGCAAAAGGACACACCATTCCCTTCTACACGTTACATCCACCACACAACAATTCTCCAACTTCAATCCATGCAACTGAAAGTTCTGCATGGGCAATTAGGTGACCTGCTCGCTTCTCAATTTAACCCACCACCAAGTGTTCACGTCACAATGCTTCTTTCTCATGCCACACGTCCATTTCTTAATCAAACCAATAATGAACCATCCAATAGTGGTAGTAACGAGCAGCAACTACCCCATTGTGGCCCGCATTTAGTCCATTAAGAATTCTCCCGATTGATCCTTATAACGATGAATTCGTTTCTTCATTTTTGGACCACGAGAATTAAATATCGTGCTAGTCGATATCGCATCGGAAAACTCCTTATGTAACTAGTATAAATAGGAGGTTAGGCTAGAGCTTTTACACAACACCTTTTACCAACACTCTGTCGTAGGGGCACGAGTTAAAAATCCATAGAGAGGAGGCGAAACCCTGTCGGAGCCCAACTAGGAAGCTTTCATCTTCAATGCCTATATCACTGGTGATGTTGATCTACTTCTATATGCATAGCTGATTCGATTTGTTTAAGGATATAATTTGATGATGTTTTGTTTACTATTTCTATGACTTAACGATAAGCCTATTGTGTTTATTATTCCTATCATCGATGTTTGATGTCAATCTATGCTTGGAGCATCTATTTCTTGAGTCATTCGATGCTATAATAATTAGTAGCTTTAGTTAATCAATGCTTATGATTCTATTTTATGCTACTACAAGCATTGTGTTTAGTTTTATCCAGGTTGTCAGAAATTACCATCTAGTGATACCCCCATTGATTCTAGGAATGTATGGGTGGAGTAGTTAATCATTCATGCATCGACTAGTATGAATGCTTGATTGTTAGATGATTGATGCTATAGACCATCGATTATGGCTCGTAGAGACCCACACTTAGAGGAGGTAGAATGTTACCCTTAGTTATGCAAGCCGGTTGTGGTGACATTGGGCCGCTGGACACAACTAGGAGGGGGGCGGGATATCTCGATCAGGTGCACGACACTAAAGATAAAATCTAACTCCTCTAAACGGATTCTATCAGTTTGCACACCGTCAGGTTGGTCGATTGTCATGCCCCTAACCTACGACCATCAATTAGGTGAGACTCTAACTATTAGTGGATGGTCACCTCGTCTGCTAGCTATCCATCTAGATCAACTAATCAAGGTAATAAGTATTCGCACACATCCAACCCTAATTAAAAGCATTAAGTGTTCTAGTTAAACTCAAATACACCATAAATCCATATGCAAAATAATGATAATTCCCTATTATCTAGGTTGCAACTTAAACCAATGAGATACACACAATCCAACACTAATTGGTATGCATGACTTGACCTAGGGGAAGGAAACTCACCTAGGTAAAGAATAAATCAATCACAATAAAGCAAGAAATTCATGCACAAACATCAAATAGACATAGATTATAGGTTCATAATGATCGTACACATGACCCATAAACAATCTATCAACTAGGGTTCATCTTTCCTAAATGATCTTAGGGGTTTAAGTTAAGTCATAGAGAGAAGAATAAAACACAAACTGAGAAGAGGTGGAATGCTGGAAAACTTCTTCTTCTCCTTGTTTGCAACTTCTCTTTGCTCCTTGGGTGGATTGTATCTTTCCTTAATCCCTCCCAGATTTTTCTCTCTCTAAAGACTGCCCAAAACTCTAATTTTCTCTCTCAAAGTTGGATCTCCCTTTTCGCTTCAACACTCCTCTATTTATAGGCTTTTCAAATCTCAGACAAGTTCGCGATTGTGAGGTAGAAGAACGCGTTTGTGAAGTGGAAGGTCGATAACGCGATCTTTCAAAATCGTCGCCTAGTCTGGGAAAGACAGGAGATTGCGCCCTAGGTAAGTGATCGTGAGATGCGGCCGCCAACTTTGTCTCGCAGTCGTGATCTTTCTCGTGGCTTCGGGTAACGGGGTCTGTGATTAGTCTGGAAAAACTTTTGGCTCTCTTCTTGACGTGTCTATGATAACACCTAAAATAGGCGTTATTTAGTCCCTCTTCTCAGGGTATTTGCATGCTAATTCACCGTGTCTAGGCCACATATCAAATTATTTATGCCCATATTTGTTCCTATTTGCAAAACATGCATTTTGGTATTTTATGCTTTCTCAAGTGTTTCTGATGAAATTCCAGATCTTATATTCATTTGGGATTGATCAGGAATCGATTGGAGTTCATCGAGCATGATCGGGAAGCATAGGAGCTAGAAGGGAAGAAAAGACACTAGTCACAGCCACATGTCACGGCCGTGATCACTAAGCCGTGACCAAGTTCGCGACCTGAAGATCACAGTCGTGAACTACAAAAGGCGACCAAAAAGAAGGCAGAAAGTTTCCCTAGTTGAGTCGCAGGCATGGCGTATTTTCACCACACAAAGATCGCGCCCGGGAAACAAAGATCGTGGCCAAGAAGTTATGAAGGAGGCCGCGATCTTGGATGTTAAAGACAGAGTCAAAACACGTCATTTCGGGAGATAAGGGGACGTTCCAGCTGGTTACGGCCAGGTCATGGCCGTGACCATCGCGTCACACCCTCGAGGCTGTGACCGACACCAGTTTCCTATAAATACTCTCTTTGCTTCATCTTTCAAAGGAGAGCCTCCTTAGAGTTAGAAAGTTAGGGTTTTGGAGTGTTTTAGAGAGGGAAACACCTTGGGAGAGCTTCATTGAAGATCCAATCAACCCAAGGGGCAAGGAGAAGAAGCTTGATTCCATCATTCCCCTCTTCTAGTTTGCATTTTCTCTCTAATGACTTGAATCTCTAATGGTTGTTTAGGGAAAATGAACCCTAGTTTATAGATTGTGTATGAATGGGTTATGAATAAATGTGTTTATGTAGTTGATTCTATTGCTACTCTATCATAGATTATATTTGTGGTAGGGTGCCCTAATCTTCTCTATTAGCCTACTTTATGTTTCTATGCTGGGTAAGAGTTCTAAGGTTAGACGGGTATGCACTATAAAGCAAATTGTGATATATGTATACATAGGGACCTAGGGTGGTTGAGGCGACTGAACCCCTGTCGTAAGTTAGACTTCCTAGATAAAACCCGAGATGAAACCTTAATGAGGACGGTGGATTGTGTCCATTGAAATGAGTCATAAGCTTAATGCCCCAGATAAGATAGCCTAGATCGTGGTGACTATATATGAATTTAAGGGAAGCGTACTCGGATGCATGTGGATAACCACGAAAGCCCATGGAAAAGAGCTCACTCACCACATTCGATAACCCTACTTGACAACCATAGCTAAGAGAATTCGACCCTAGGCAACTGAATCATCTCTAGCGTTCTCTAGCTAGGTTATACTTGGCTTAGTTAGGATTTAATAGAGAGTGTGCATCGACTTATAAATTTAAAGCGCGATTGCGCATAGTAACCGAACATGTTTTTGGCACCGTTGTCGGGGAGTCTTAAGTTACCAGGAAAAGCTGAGAACTATTGTTTAATCGCTTGTTGTGTGCCAAGTTTGGTGTTGTTTCGCCGTGTTTGTGTTTTGTGTTTGTTTGGCATCAAGTTTTTTGTGCGTTTCTCTTGTGTTTTGTGCTGTGATGTCGTATTTTCTTTCTTGTATTCTTCTTTCTTTTGTTATGTTTCCTTTAGTCATCTTGTGTTAAGCGTTTGTTCCATTTTTGTTTCTTTTTGTTTTGCTCTTGTTCTTTCATAGGTTGTTTTTGTGAATATAAATAATGCTTAGGTGTAGCTATGGATCCATATGGTTGGTACGAGTAGTATGGATATCACCAAAGGCCGAATTGGTGTTATCTTAAAGCTTCTAGTAGTGGTGTTAGCCAAGGATCCGGGTACGAAGAACAATCACCTCTTCACACCTATCAAACATACCTGCATAATTATGAAGCATCTCCACCATCATACCAAGAACCACCTCCACAGCCTATGGTGAAGATCGAGTTGGAAATGGGCATTGAGCAACTTAATGCATATTCAACATATTTAGAAGGCTTTGAGACAACTCACTCAACTCCAACCCCGAAACCAAAGAGTCTCTTGGAGCTCGAGTTAGAAAGACTCATGGCCGAGATTGGGAGTACACTTCAACATTCACCATCACCCACACCAAAGAGCTTTGGATAGTTAGCATCCGAGCGCTACAACATCACAATGGAGTGCCTAGATGCTAGCGACCCCGACCTTCCTTCGGATTTCTTCCAGATTAAAGATGTTAAACGAGAGGAAAGTTGGTTCCAAGAGGTGGGGACCGTAGGGACATCTCTCATCAAGGGAAATCCCGACCCTCTTACTCAAGACTTCCTCAAATAACAAGAAGAGATACTAAAAAGGATAGATAGAAACATAAGAGTTATTGAGCAACCTTGCTCGAGACTCAATCAAGAGAGCCTCTTCGACATCAAGAATGAAGGAAAAGAGGAAGTGGTAGAAGAGGGAAATGTCTCAAGGGTGGACAAGTAAGTGGACCTTGAAGATCCATCTATTGAAGATCTTGCTTGTAAAACCATCATTGCTCCTAATCATCAAGAAGAGAAAACTAAAGAAGGGAGCATTGATGAGGTTGTGAGGAAGGAAGAAGAAAGTGAATATGAAGAGCCTGGTACTCAACATGGAGAAGATTCCTCACAAGAAGGACACGAGTTTGAAGATGCAATTGGAGTCTGAACAATGGACAAAGTCGATGTGAATGAAGCTTCCACAAGTTACACATGCTTCTAAAGCTTTTCACTCAACCTTGATACTGTTTTAGACAAGGATTCTTTTTGGATTCTCTTTGTCAAGCCAAGGCCACACCATCAACAATCCCCCTTGGTAGATTCAAGGATGGTCAATTAAGATTGCATTACATGGCATGCAGAAAAGGAAGAAAGAAGAAAAAGAGGTCTTGCGGGTAGAGACACAATTCTTACCAAGTCCATGGGTTATTCACACCGTTTGAACCATCCAAAGCTTGAGACTTGAGACACCATCTCACAGACGAGAACCTCAACTTCAAGGAGGTCTTGAGCTAGACTGAGTACTTGAAGACAACGGTCCGGTGAAATGAACTAAAAGACACGCTAGTTGGGAGGCAACCCAACATCAGTTTGCATTTCCTTTTCATTAACTCTTAGTTTATTTTTCTTTCTTGCATGTGTATGGTGAGATTAGAGGTAGTTGGAATGCCTTAGGAGTCATCCTTAACCCCAAAAATTGATCACAATTGATGCTTGATAGGATAGGTTATCGATATTCAAGGTTAAGGGAGGTTAGAGAGTCAAATGCGGTGAAATTGTGCAGGTCTCGGCATGGTCATGGCCCGTGACAAAGCAATGACCAATTTAAATTGATTTTATGCCGAGAGCCATCACGGATTAGTCACAGCCCGTGACGTAGCTTTGGCCATCAACCTGTGCATTTTCCTTAACCCATCACAACATGGTAACAGCCATGACAAGGCCGTGACTGTCGATCTGGAAAATTAAAATCTGATTCTCTGGACGCTTTCTCTATCTTTTCTTCAAAACAAATCTTGAAACTCCCTCTCCTCTCACCACCACTGAACACAAATCCCACAATATCTCCTTCCACACTCAACCAAATCCAAATCCAAGACCACCATGTTCATCGTGGAGAGGCCCCTCTTGTGCACTCGCTAATCGTCTCAATCGTTGGTTGAAGCTCCCTCGACGAATTTCGTGAGTCCTACGAGTCTTCCGACGAACTTCCTTCCCCAACCATTTCCTTGTTGTGCTTAGTCTTTCCCCCAAGCTTCAAGGTTCGATTTTCATCCTAGCTTTGTAAATTTCAGAATCTTAGAACCCTAGGTGTGAGAATTTGGAATTTTGGGAATTATAGGTCTTGGTCGTAATTGATTAATGGGAATGATTGGAATTGGCGATTGAATGATGTTGGAATGTCACTTTGATGAATGCTAGAAGATTTTAGGCTTGTTGGGTATAGTTTCTCCTTATTGGCCATTTGGATGAAATTTGCCTACCTTGTCCCCGTTTAATTGCCCCAATGAGTTAGAATGCTCGGTAATGGTAAACTTTGATGCGTTCTAACCCTTGTGAAGGTTTCTTTAGCTTCCTTGAATTACCTAGCCTGATTATGGTTGGTTTTAGACATGTTCATCATAAGATGCTTATTGTGAAACAAAATCGGTTTTGCATGCTTTGATACGACATTGGTGATCACGTTTCTTTGATGATTTGTTGCAACCTAGATGGTTGGAGCTTTCTAATATGATATTTTTATACCCTAGAGTTTTTTTATTCATCTTTTTGCTTCTTTGATCATAGCATCGCCTCATTCTAATGTTGCTATAACCTTATGAAACAAGTTTTCTGGATTTTGTTGAATTGGTTGTTTACATAAAGTGGAGTTATTGTTTGAAGAACAAGTATGGGGGAATTTTTCTTATTGAAATTTACTAAAATCGTAATGGACTTGTGTGCCATTTGTATTGCTTTTGGAATGATTGACAGAAACATGCTTCCTCGATATGGTAGGGACTACCCCTCGCTCAGAGACCCCAATGCAACGAGGAAAATGACCGAGATGGTTAACCAGATGCTAGTGAAAGATCTTGGGGATTATCGACATTTTTGTTGGAGGGGAATCCGGGCCACTAGATGTGAGGCGGAAGTCCGAGAGCTCTTGAGCACCAAAAATGGTTGACATTGCTCTCCATGAGGGGAACAATCTACAAGGAGCTGACTGTGGAGTTCTTGGTGACTTTAAAGTGCCTACAGGGGACGGACCACGAGTTCCACTTCGATGAGGACGGAACGGTCACCTTCAGACTTGGAGGTGTACTGAGGAGTATGAGTGTCACATCCTTCATTGTGGCACTCAACATTTACACCGAGGAGTTCACCAGGACACCGACCTACCGCAATCTAAGGAGGGAAGGAGATGTAAGCCACGAGGTACTTCTTCAGTCTTGGAGAGACAAAATCTCTAAGGCGAGCATCACCACTGGATGGACAGCAAAGTATGCAAAGAGAACTCAACTCAGTCCAGTTATGGGCATCTATCACCCCCTCATTGGCTACTCTCTCACGGGCAAGAATGAGAGTGGAGGTTCTTTGTCCACCAGAGACCTCTACATGCTCCGCCACTTGGAATGGAAGGTTATCCACTTGTTTATCCCGGTGGCTATGAACAAGTGTGGACGAGTCCACGGTGGAGGATATGTCATCCGCTTGGCAAGACACTTCGAGGTACTTCGAGTCCCGAGCGACATCAACCACCAAACCCTTCTCCTCCAAGGCTCTATACTGGATGGGTTTCGATACTCCACACATGCCAGTCGATGATTGTGATGATGATGCTGAGGAACAGGACGATGATCAGGAGATCCCTCCACCTCCACCTCGTGATGATGTCAGGCCTTCTAATACAGGACTAGATGACAGGATGGATGTTTTCGAGGTGAGGTTGACCAACATTGGTCGACAGAATGACCTCATCCTCGCCAACGAGAACCTTCTGATGAGGAGACGGCGAAGGATCATGGACTACTTCGAGCTCACATATGATGATAACTCCGAGGCATCCGACGATGAAGAGTGATCCTTCTATGGCATGGATGGCACCAAGGGCCATTTCTCTACCCCCTTTTCTTACCATTTCTTTTTGTTGAAATAACGAACTATGTAGGATGATTAGTAGTAAGTGTGTGCTTTTCTATTTAAGTACCTAGTAGACTTTCTTATATAGTTAAATAATACTTGATGTTTAATTTACCTTTGTGTGGATGTGATTGATCTTTTTCTTCTTAGCTCCTTTATCATGGATGTTTCCCAAGGACCGAAGCAAACTACCCTATCCTTCCACCCTATAATCGCTCGACTTCGTACAATTTGGTAACTTGTTCCCCCTATTCTTTACATGTGCTCACATTGAGGACGATGTGTTCCTTAAGTGTGAAGTGTGTGCGTGGGGGGGGGGGGGGGGGGGGGGGGGGGGGGGTCATAAATGCTTATGTGGAATGTCCTTATTGATTGCACTCTCTCACCCCATGAATGTTTGAAAGCTTGATCACGAGAGTGTGTGTTTTTAGAGTGATTGTGGACGATGATTTAGCATTTTTCAACCACTTGGAGCCTTGTTATGCTCGCTAGGTGATAGTTGCATGGTTAGAGTAGTGTGGGGGGTAATTT